GGTCTAGCGAGCAGGCGAGTGAGTGTGCATGTATAAAACATCCAAATGTTGGCTACAAATTTACATACATAGCCTTCAAACATCTGTCGGCGTTGTCTTTTCTCCTTTATTTTTAGGTCCGTTAAACTCAACTAATATTCGTCACTTATGTGACCTATTTGTGTTGCAAGTGCCGTGAAACACTTACTGAAAATATCCTTTCTTGAAAACACACGAACGCTCTCACGTTCACTACTCAATGCGTGTGGAAAACCTAAGCGGAGTAACCCCGGGGTACCTTTGGGCAGTTCAAGAGTGTCGTGATTACTTCCCCTTATATAAGTACAGCAGCCGGAAATTGGGTTGAAAAGACCGACAACTTTGTTGCTGTCAATTCTGGTCACGTGACTGCCAAGTGTCGCAAGATGGAGGACAGCTTGTTTGGAATGCAGGTGTGCAAACAGGTTGACAACAATGATGATTTTTAAGTAAGTCATCATTATTTGCTCTCCCCCCCAAATGTCGGTTCTGTATAATCAGAGGAACCACATGGTGTTAGAGGAAGAAAATGCTGTGTTGGGGGTTGCATAACTGTCTGATCATAACTTGTAGCACCGAGCAGTAAACATCATAAACTGACTGATGACGAGTCTGTGCACTGCTGACGCCAGTGTCCGTGCTTACCTGACCATGTCCCTGTCCCGTGTGTATCCTCTCCTCGCCATTATTATAGAAGCAGCACTTTTCACTTGTAATAGTTCTTTTCATTTTGCCCTTAAGAAGTTGTTCACAGATTAAAGTGGAGATTGATACTCTTCCTTCTCTCTTCTTGAAGAATAGGCCTAGAATCTAGATCTAGGTCCCTAGGCTAGGTCCTAGGTTGGACTTGCTACACTTGTAACTTGTTGATCATCCACATGATGCCTCACTGATACTGATATAAAGTAAGCAGTGGCTATTCTCATCCGGGGTGAGAATAGAAAAACCTCGGGTGAGACTTGCCAGCGTAGGCTATTCTCACCCGGTGCGAAACAAGACCTGATTTTCCTCATTTTGGCTATTCTCACCCGCCCGGAAGTTCTCGCAAGATCTACTCCTCCCCTCTTCTCTCTCTCTCTGTTTCTTTCTGAATACTGTCTATCGGTGTGGACGATCAAATTGACCAAAACAAAGTTAAAAAATGATGTTAAAACACAAAAGTAAATTAATTTGGTTGTCTACAAAGATGCTACGACTTTTCGAATCGAGCCGAACTACGCGGGTCGCCATTTTGTTTTGTTCTCTCTCTTTCACTCTCTCACTCTCTCTCTCTCCACTGCCCACAGTCAAAATTGTACGCTTTTAGTAGGCTACAAGTACAGTTGTAATGGAACGTTTGTTCACAGCACAGAATTCTACAATTTTTCTCTTATCACAGTGTAGAATTCTGTGGTTTAGGGTGAACGCAAAATTTGTTGACACGCGCACTGGGTGAGAATAGCCACAAGACCCGCCTGCACTATTCTCACCCCGGGTGAGAATAGAGGTGGCCTTTTGGAATACTGTCTATCGGTGTGGATGATCAAATTGATAAAAGCCAAGAAAAAATTACGTTATAGCACAAAAGTAAGCTAATTTGATCGTCTTCAAAGATGCTATATATGGCTATTTCACTGTTCAAATCGAGCCGAACTACGCGGGTCGCCATTTTGTTTTGCCCGGAAGTTCTCGCAAGATCTACTCCTCCCCTCTCTCTCTCTCTCTGTCTTTTTCTGAATACTGTCTATTGGTGTGGACAATCAAATTGACCAAACAAAGTTAAAAAATGATGTTAAAACACAAAAGTAAACTAATTTGGTTTTCTACAAAGATGCTACGGCTATTTAACTTTTCGAATCGAGCCGAACTACGCAGGTCGCCATTTTGTTTTGACCGGAAGTTCTCACGCTACTCCTCTCTCTCTCTGAGCTCTCTCTCTTTCTCTCTCTCTCTCTCCACTGCCCACAGACAAAATTGTACGCTTTTAGTAGGCTACAGTTGTAATGGAATGTTTGTTCACGGCACAGAATTCTACAATTTTTCTGTTATCACAGTGTAGAATTCTGTGGTTTAGGGTGAACGCAAAATTTGTTGGCCTAGATCTAGGCTATAACGGTGAACGCGCACCGGGTGAGAATAGCCAAAAGACTCGCCTGCACTATTCTCACCCGGGGTGAGAATAGAGGTGGCCTATTATAAAGTAACTGGCCCACTCAATAGGCCTAATAGCTGCTGAGGACTGAATTTGTTGTGCATTATATACCCCATGTGATGTTTGCAAATTTAGAGTAATACTAAAGCTACTCAAACATTACTAATTACACTGGACTGAGGCTACTGTATTGTTAATGTTGATATAATTTTGTGGATAGAGGATTGAATAGATTATATTTATTTTACGAAGTGGCTAGCCGTACTAGAGATCTAGTATCATTAGAGATCTAGTAATTATTCAGGTTTAAAATACATGCATGTCAGTTTGCAAGGCACCTTTTGGTTTCGTCTGAAATACACATTTTTATACCTTTGGTATTGCAAACTAAAATTTTATTTACAATTCAGAGCTATCATTATTAAGTACGGCTAGCCTGCCAGTCTAATCTAGCGGTCCTTAAGTACGGCTAGCCAAGCAGTCCAGCCGTACTTATTTTAGGCCCTTTTAGAAACCTGCTGTGTACACAGGTCTATTCAGGGGCTCTCGTGGCCTAGAGGTAAAGGTGTTGGCCTCTCATTCAAAGGTTCCAGGTTTGAATCTGGGTGGCTACCTAAAAATTTTCTTCTCTAAACTTGTCTACTTTCACCTTCTTTCCTGCTTTTTAGCAATGTTCTGTCGTCTGCTTTCGACTCCTCTTTCTGCCCCCACCCCCTCACCTCCTTTGCCCCCTCCTCTGGGCTCCTGACTCTTTCTGCAGCCTTTCCACTGTTACTCCTTTGCTCCTTCCTACTGCACTGTCTTTCAGCCACACCCCTGATCTTCTGGTAGGAAAGATCTACACCTTGCCTTCTCGGACAAGGGCAAAAAATCTCGGAGGGCCCTGTGCAAGTTGCGCACGTTAAAGATCCCTTGGTGGTCTAAAATCGATAAGAGTAGGCTTCTGCTGCCACCCGGGCAAAATTCAAAATTTCAGGCCTACCAACTGAAAAAGTTTAATGTGTCGTGCATGCTCATATGACCTTTTGCAGATTGCGAGCGCCGTAAAACACTTTTACTCCCCCCCAAAAAACCAAAAAAAACCCCAGGTCTATTGAGGTTTAAAATTATGCACTGTCAGTAAGGCACCTTTTGGTTTCATCTCAAATACAAATACTTTAGGTATTACCAGGTAAAAGTTTGTTTACAATCCAGTAGGCCTATTTTTTTGCTGTTTGTCAGTCTAGCCATCATTATTGAACGGCTAGCCCAGCCGTCTAGCTGTCATTAAGTACAGCTAGCCTCTTCCTTTATTTTATTTTCGGTGAGGGCAGATCTAGATCTAGTTTTATAAAAAAATTATGACCATGTTGTTGTTTTTCTTGTCTTTTAATTATAAAACTGTTTGTCCAGTTTTTGTCTTTTTTGACTCATATACTCGGTTGAATTTATAAGAAGACTTTCTTTGAGATGTTCCCCGACCAGGTCTTGGCATATTATTAATTATGATTCATATAAATATGTTCCTTGGTATCGCGAATGAGTGTTCTGGACTGAATATATATGTTTGAAGGAGAACAGTTTGAGTTAATGTGGCTGCTTGATGGGTACTTCATTAGACATTATATAAAAGGTGGGAAACGTTGCACTTCAAGCTTAGATATTTGTTCAGTGTTGCTCTTGATAATATTGACCTGATTTTCTACTCGTTCTTTTTTTCTGATCAACAGATCCCCATGGAATATAAAATATAACCACGGATTTTCAGGGGATAAGGAGAACCAACAGAAACATTCCAACAGTTGTCATACATTCCTCAATGCAAATGCAAGACACTGCTGACCATTGTAAAAAGGCCAGCAAAGATGTCAGTGTGCAAAAGGTAACACAGTTTATTGTTTTGACTTTGTTTTTGTTTTAATTCCCATAAGCTTTTTATTTTTATTTGTTTCTTTTTTAAAGAAAGGAGAAAATTTGGAACCAGGCACTAGTTGAACTGGATGAAAGGGAATTTAATGAAGGAGCTTGTAGCAGAAGAGAACAAATTATCGCTTTCTCCAACATGATGTGCTATAGTCTATGTTTGTAAACAAACTTAATTTGTTAGATCCTGGTGTCATTTGAAGAAAAATCCGAAATTTAGGACTTTCATGAATCTCATGTTTTTATTTTCATAATTTTTATATGTTTAGCAGGAATGCAGTGTGTGTTAAAATTTCTTTAGTCTTAACACTTCCTTTTATTGTTTGTTTTTTCTAAAGTTCCCCAGATTTCAGTTTCAAAGGTTATTCCTGTTTTTTTTTCTACACAGACATTACTGTAAATAGTAGCTTAGAAAAGACAAGTCCGGTTGGCTGAGGAGAAAGAAAAGCCAATATGGCCACGAGTGACGCAGAAATGGAGATGGAGCAGCTGCAGCTCCAGATAGAGCAGCTGAAAAGTTTGGTGAGGGAGAGGGATGAGGCACTCCAGAGCAAGGAGAAAGAACTTCAGGTACATAAATGGCTGTAGTTGTTATTGTTGTCGTAGAATTATACTGCTTTGAAGCAAGTTTCCATTGTGACGTCTATTATAACTTTGACCTGAAGTGGAAAATGTGTTTGTTTTTGTTGGGCACTGTCCAGGAAGGTCTGAAAGTCTTGTTCATTGTCAGTAGCACTTTAGGAACCAGCAGTGTACATGATCTTTATATTTCTGTAAAACACAATTTTAGATTTACTTCAAAATGCTGATGTGTGTTGTACTATAAGTTCTGAACTTGGGTGGGGTCCTGGATATTTGAGGTTAAAATTTATTCACATTGTCAAAAGCATTTTTTCTTGAACAAAGCTTTGTGTCTTGGCAGGGGCTAATTGCTCTGCCCTTTACATGGTATTGTATCGAGTAGGATTTTTGAAGCAGGATCTATGACTTTGACAACAGCAGCAGTAGAAATAGCCACACCAGCAAAAAGAGAACTCGTATGAAGTAAAAATATTGAAGATCAAGGTGCCTTAACTAATTAAGTATGTTAATTAAATGATCCCCGCCTTAAAGTGTGCTGTCAGAGGTTGGTGCTTTATATGCTTATTATGTGCACGATTGTTCAACAGGACACCAACTCCAAGATGTCCAAGTTGAGGCTCCAGGCGAAGGCAAAGTCTGTCAAGAAGGAGAAGGCAGCACAGCAGGAGGCGAAGAAAGAGACAGAAGCTGTGGAAAAAACAGTAAGATCTATCCTCCATATGTTTAACTCTCCCCCCATGTTGCCAGTCTTTGCTGTTTTCATATCTGTATTAGGAGTCAGTTGAAGGGTTCCATGAAGGGAACTGAAAAAACAACAACTTTGTCTTATTTCTTTTTTATAGGGGACGGGAACGACCATCCTCTTTGTAAATTATATTTAATTGCATATTACACAAATTTTCTCATTTGGTTTGGTTCTATAGGAGATGGACTTTGAAGTCAGAGGTCCCGCCACTTGAATAACCTTTCACTGTTTCAAGAAGTGTTTAGCAAACATAATTGTGCATTTTTCTTTCTTTTTCGTCTACAGGAGACCCCAGAGGAGGGAGCCACGGCCCAAGAGGAAGGCTCGTCGTCAGGCGGCGGTCAGGCCAGCCGTGCCAAAGCGGTGCTGTTAAAGCGGAAACTGGAGGAGAAGGATCGACTGATCGCGGAGAAGGAGGAGGTGATCAAGGTCAGGGAGGGTCAGCTTGAGTCGAAAGAGCTGGTGCTGGCGGAGCGAGACAACCGCGTGCGCGAGCTGACGGAACAGTTGGAAGAGAAGACGGTGGAGATGGAGAAACTTCAGTCAGTTGCTGGCGGTGGTGGGGCAGGCTTTGGGGATGAACAGGTTTGTAGGCATTGCTGATTTTTTAATTTTAAAAAATTAGTTTAGTGAGAGTTTAATGGCACTTTCAACACAAGTAGGTCATATAAGTGGTGGAGATTAGAAGTGTTACTAGAGTAACATACAAAGAAAAAAAAAAGAAAGATGAGTATTGATAGATGTTTGGCAAGAAAGAAGGAGCATATCAAACGAGAGCTCATACCAACCACCCATATTGCTGCTTGGAAATCTAGAGAAGAGGTTGACCTTGTCATTTCAGTCTTGTATTAAAGTTGTGAAATCCTCACATGAAATTAAAAAAGTTCTATCTGTACTGTGGGTACTTCTGAGATATTGGATTTCATAGTTTATGAATTTTGAATGCAAAAGCTGATAGAACCTTTATCATGTGTACTTTTCTTGGGGCGGAGTTGTCATTTCAGATCGGAACAAACATAACTTGAAACATCCACAAAGTGAAGACAGAACCCTTTTAATTTCATACAACAAATGCTTTGATTGATTGAATATGTTTTAAGCCCTTTTCAACGCAGTTGAAATGAAACAGGAGACAGGCTGCTTGGACCTGGGGTCTGAGTTTGATAGTGCATCTCAATGAAAAGACAGAAGTACTTGTCCCAGTGTAGGAATTGAACTTATTTCGTTGGTATGCACAGTTGCTGTACACCGCAGATGCTGTTTGGTAGTGTTTTAAATGCCTTATTGTTTAGGAAGAATTGCATCTTGTCAACCTTTTGTCTGTTTTTTTTTTTTTTCCCGAACGGCTGTTAAGAGAGTTTATTGCTTTCTTTTTGTTTCCATTTTTTAAATTGAGCATGTTATGATCTTTCTTTGTGTACTCCTCCAGGGTCAGATTCAAGAAATGTATGCACAAATGGTGTATAAAGATAGAAGAGTGATGGAGCTCAATGCCAAAATCTTGGAGCAAGACAAGAGAGTGATGGATTTACAGGAGTTTGCCGGGGAGAAAGATCAAGTCATTCGGGGACGTGATAAAGTTGTTGAGGTAAGTGCTTTGATAAATGTCAAGGTGCGGTTTGTGAAAAAAAAAACTTTGGTATTAGTGACTGAAAATTCTCGTTTTACCTCCTGTGACATAAATATGTAGGAAAGAAGAGACGAGTATACTTTTCTTTGGTCTTTTCAATATGCGAATTGTCTCCCATCTTCATATTCCTTTTCTTCTTCAAGTGTAAGATCTGATACAGATATCAGCAGTCTTGGTCTGCAGTTCATTTCTCAGCTCAGCTATTCTCCAAAAAAACCTACATTAATCCTGTCTCCCCCATGACAAGTTTGTGAGATGATACTGGTATTAAAGATCATGTTCAAAGTTGTTTTTTTTCATTCTCAGGTTTTACAAATTTCAATAAAAGAGAAAGACCAAGCTATCCAGGACCAGGGTCAGCTGATCACCAAACTGACTGCTCGTGTGGAGTCGACCAATGAGAAAGTGGATGTTGTGACGGAGCAGCTTCGGCACAAGGAGCAGGAGCTCAAGTCGGAGACGGATCGCTTCCACATCAAGCTGACCGAGTCGCAGAAGTACTTTGAGGAAATGCTGCATGACATGGATGTTGAAACAAAGAAGTGAGAACCTTTTTAAAGAAAAAATAAGTTACATAAGCTTTAGTACTTGCATACTCTAACCCTGTACCGTCAAGTACACAAGGCAGAGAGCAGTTGAAACCACGCTTGTCGATGGCATGCTCTGTTATGATACAAAAATTGTTATTGTAAATGTTTTCGCCTCCATCATCACAGTATGTTCTGATCATTATTGAAGCAGTCTGCTTGGACACCCTCTGTCAGGGCCAATGCAGATTGAGTGTTGTACAACCCTGCAGATTTAGTAAAGTGTAAGACCTATTGTAAAAAGATACAACACAAACCAAAAATATAAAAGATTCCTGTTTCCCAAGCCAAAAAGATAAAAGATATCTCTAACACAAACGAAAAAGATAAAAGATATCTCTAACACAAACGAAAAAGATAAAAGATATCTCTAACACAAACGAAAAAGATAAAAGATACTTGGAACAATTTGGCCCCCCAAAAATAAAAGCTACCACCTCTATTCCAGGCTGCGGGCTGTGATAGAAGAGAAGGACCAGGAGCTGGTGACGCGGGAAAACGACCTGCGAGAGCTCATCTCCAAGCATGAGCGCGACATCGAGACCATCATGAAGAAGGAGAACATCGACCTGCAGGACCACGTCATCCAGATGCTGGAAGGGAAGCTGCGGGACTCCAACGATGTGCTCGATGGAAAGGTATGGTTTAAAAAAAAATTGTGTTTTGTGCCCAGGAAGACACTATTTAAGATTATTTAAAAGATGGGCTGCTTCGGCGGTCCAGTGAGGGCTCAGTTGGATACAACATCCCAGTAGACAAATGGAGATACTCTATAGAAAACTTCCCCATTCAGGAATCGGATTCATGTCTTTGGAATGCAGCGGAAGATACATATTGACTTTTTTCTAGCATTGCTGGTCATAGACTTCCTGATGTTGAAGAAAAAATGTAAAACTTCCAAGGCAGGATTTGTGAATACTGATGAGAACAAAGCTCCCTCTCCGTCACTGTCTCTCATTTGTTAGTTTGACGAAACCAATACAATAACCGAGTCTTTCCCTCTGTCAGATCAAAGTGATCTCGGTGCTGCAAAAAGAGAGCGCGGACAAGGAGCGCGACCTGCTGGAGACCCGCGAGACGATGCGACTGCTGAAGGAGAAGCTGCAGGTGACCTCGGAGCAGATGATGCTGCTGCAGGCCAACTTTGTGGACATGGAGACCCAATGGAAGGAAGAGAGGTCGCGGCTGGAGGGCCGGCTCAAGGACACAGTCGAGAAACACGAGACGGAGGTGAGGGGGCTGTGTGGGTGGGTTTGACCAAAGATCGTGTATAACAAGATAGTTCACTCCGCTCTTTGAGCCAATTTAAAAAAGTGTCCTCAAAATTTGGTGGCACCCTCTTTGAAAAAGTGCGGACTTTGCAAACAGAGTTTTCCTACTTGTGGGAAAACAATAAAAGTGAAAGTAACAAACTGTGCTTTTCCTATTCTTCTTCTGGAGAAACAAAAGAGAGCTTCAAAATAAAGACTGCAGCGTCATCTGAGGCAAAGCGCGGGGTTAATAGAACTATCTTATTATGTATGATCTTTGGTTTGACTTAAGGTTTTGGCATATAACTGGTCTCTCTCTCTCTCTCTCTCTCTCTCTCTCTCTCTCTCTCTCTCTCTCTCTCTCTCTCTCTCTCTCTCTCTCTCTCTCTCTCTCTCTCTCTCTCTCTCTCTCTCTCCCCCCCCCCCCCCCTTCCCTTAATAATTCTATAAATAAATTAAAGCTTCGAACTCAGATAGCCGCTGGGACAGAGAAATTAAATTAAATGAGCTCCCAACTCTGATGAACAAAGAATAGAGCAGAAATAAATGTACCTCCTTGTGTCTTTGTCGCCCCAGTTGTCGGAGAAGGAGGTCCAGGTGGCGACGCTGCAGTCAACCTTGCAGCAGTACGAGACGGCCTACAACCAGGCCTCGGCACAATATGGTCAGCTCCAGGAGCACTACAGGCAGGCCCTGGCCGGGAATGTAGACTCGCAGCAGGTGGGTTTGGTGGACACACACACGCTCGCTTTCTCACACGTGTACACACACAAACAGACACACATATATGCACACACACACACACACACTCGCACACATTTGTATCCTCACATGTACTCACACACACTTATACACACACACACTTGTACACACACACATACACACACACAGACTGACACACAAAAGAAATGCACAAAATACTGAAGAATAGTACTTACACATGCTCGCATGCACTATAGCTTTTTATTGCGTAAAGTGTTCCCAGTGTTCTTGGCCTTGTTAACACACATAGGGCATACAAGACAACTTGAAAAATAATGTACAAGACAACTTGAATGATGTACAAGACATTTTGAAGAATGATAGACAAGGCTCTTTGAAGAATGATAGGCAAGACACTTTGAAGAATGGTATACAAGACACTTTGAAGAATGGTATACAAGACACTTTGAAGAATGATAGACAAGGCACTTTGAAGAATGATAGACAAGACACTTTGAAGAATGGTATACAAGACACTTTGAAGAATGATATACTAGACACTTTGAAGAATGATATACTAGACACTTTGAAGAATGATACTGGCTCCTGCTTGCTCTCGTAAGCTTTCTTGTAGCGTGAAGCATTCTCCGTGTCCAATATGTAAAACGTGTGTCCTCAATGACCCTGACCCTGTTTCAGGCCGCGTCGGTGCTGGGTGCCAGCGGTAAGGACCAGAGTGCCGAGGTGGAGGCGTTGAAGCATGAACTGTCGCAGTCGAAGCAGACGGTGGAGAAACTTATTTCACAGGTGAGAGGTTCTTCTAGGCCCGCTGTAGATCCATTACGGTAGCTGCCATCCCCGCCTTAGATCCATAACAGTAGTTGACATCCCTGCCTTAGATCCATAACGGTAGTTGACATCCCTGCCTTAGATCCATTACGGTAGCTGTCATCCCCGCCTTAGATCCATAACCATAGCTGTCATCCCCGCCTTAGATACATAACGGTAGCTGTCATCCCCGCCTTAGATCCATAACCATAGCTGTCGTCCCCGCCTTAGATCCATAACGGTAGCTGTCATCCCCACCTTAGATCCATAACGGTAGCTGTCATCCCCACCTTAGATCCATAACAGTAGCTGTCATCCCCGCCTTAGATCCATAACGGTAGCTGTCATCCCCGCCTTAGATCCATAACCGTAGCTGTCATCCCCGCCTTAGATACATAACGGTAGCTGTCATCCCTGTTGTATATCCATTACGGTAGCTGTCATCCCTGTTGTTTATCCATTACGGTAGCTGTCATCCCTGCCTTAGATCCATTACGGTAGCTGTCATCTTTGTGGTTTGTTTAATGTATTCATTGAATCATTCTAACGTGATAGGATGGGTTCTGTACTTCTTTATATTAGTTATTGTGCTAATGGAAGGAGGTTGTTAACAAATGGACACACCCTTAAGGACTGTGATCCATGTCTGGTCATAGTGGGTGGTTGGAGGTTGTGTGTAGTGCGGGGCCCTTTTTCTTTTCAATTTGTATCTTAGTTCTGTTTATTTTCTTGTCCTACCCCTCTTTCAGCCTTACACATACACACGGCCCCCCAACTCCCCCCCCACCCAATACAAACAAAACAAATCAAAACAACAACCAAACACCCCCCCCGCGAAATCTCCTCTGCCAAAAAAACCCCCAAATAACCCCCAACAACCCCCCCCTTCCCACACACACACACACACACACAAACCCCCTCCCCCTAAACAAAACAAAAAACAAAAAAACTCCTCAGCTATAACAAACTTTAATGGCATTACTGTATTGAAGTTTTATTTCTCTTTAGCTCAAACAACCTCTATGTTCTCCTCAGGTCCAGGAGCTAGAAACTCAGCAGAAGTCATCGCCGGAGGAAGCCAGCAGTGGTGGTAGCGGAGGCAGTAGTGGTGGTGGGGGGAAGAGCGACACCAAGCTGCTCAAGGTAAAGGCACAGATGACCAGCAAGATCAAGGCACTGGAGAAAGAGCTGCAGGAGCTGAGACAGGTAGGGAGTGGAGAGAGAGAGAGAGAGAGAGAGAGAGAGAGAGAGAGAGAG